CGCGCCGCCCGGTGTAACAGGGTGATCTTGCTTTTGCATAGCTTTGCATCTTTGCGCGCCGCCCGGTGTGACAGGGTGATGTTTGTTTTGTTTTCGCTTGCTCGCGCCGCCCGGTATGTGCAATAATTGAACAATGAAAAACAATGAGAAACCGATCTAAGGACCCGCGACGTCCGGTTTCTCCTTCCCCTGTGCGTGGTGGCATGGGCAAATGAGACCTGTGCGCGCTAGTGAGAAATGTGCCGGTGCTTTTCATCCGCAACGAAATGTTACCAAAAGGTCCCTGCCACATATATATATATATATGTGGTGGCATTATCAAATAATAATCTAATACAATATATACATCTTGAGAGTCCAAGACTATATGTTTAAACTGGTCTTGAGGTGATCCGGAAAGGAAATTCATTGACTTCAGTGGTCCGAAATATAGTCTTTGCACTTCTGGGGTGTATTATATACATGCTAGATATACATACATATATATGTATATTTGTATATATCCCAAACTGCTCTCATAACAACATCACCCAGGCCACGGCCACGGCGGCCTGGCCTTGGCAACCAACCGGTAGGATGCTCAAACCAGCCTCACAGTTTTCTTTCCACACTATCAACTAATGTACCTACGGAGGTGGTGCAACTGTCCATTTCGCAGATCAAAGCAGGTGCTTTGGGCTTCGCCGGCCTCCCTGAATCCCCATTCGCCCAATCTGATCGCACTGCCAGGGCACTTGGCACAAAGGCCAGCATGCTGCTCGGCCCCGACGGCGCCCAACGCTGCAAGCACCGCCGCCTCCGGTCCATCCAGGCACCGTCTGAAAAAAGATCCGACCGGTGACCGGTCCAACCCATTATTGTGCCTAGTAAGTCCCTCTTTGGCAGCTACGCCTAGTTTTTGGCGGCACTTGTGCACACATCTGCCAATCATCTACCTCCAGAAAACCATTGGTGCAGCTTTCATCGAGTGCCAGCTGGGCCCCCTGATGATCCAAATCCGGTCGCGTCCTGTCACCCCGTCTGGGGACCGCCTTGGCGTTCTCGTCACGCGTGCGTTCCAAACACATGGCCAAGGTGTCACCATAGCCCAAGGCTTGTGGCCCAAACTCCGCCAAGGCCACCGCCGCGGCGATGCAGACCTCTGGGCTTCTGTTCCTGGGAGTGCGGAGTGCCCGGTCGAGGGCTTCGGACCAAGGGAGCTTGGAGAAGCTGGTAGACACACAACTCACACCAGTCTCCTGAAACTGTCAGGAAAACCTCCCAAACCTTCTCCACACCAAAACTTCACCCCCCTACCACCACCTTGGGCTGAGTCCACTCCCATGCGCCCACTACGCCGAGGCACAATCCACTGGCCACGGCCCCCATGTGCTTGGCACCTTCCGGGCCGAAGTCGCCCAGCGTCCGAAGGGCCGCGGCCGCCACTTCGTCGTTGTGGTCCTTCGTCAGGTTCGCCTTGGTTTCGTCGCGCGCGCGCGACACAGAGGGGCCGCGGGGGTGGGGACCGTCGGGCCCGGCGGGGAAGCCACGGAAGGAACGGGCTTGCAACAGGGCGGTGAACACAGTAAGGATGACCACGTTGCTGGAATGGTCCCGCCATGTGAAGGTCGTGGTGCTCCAAATTCCGGTCGTGGAGAACAAATTCCCGCAGCTTTTGGGTGAGGAACCAAAGGTCTGGAAGGTCTGTTCGTGTTCCAATGCCTTCACATCCAGAAGTTCCAAGCTGGAACTGGAGCTCTCTTTTTGTTAGCCCCTTCATGTACTCCCGAGCCCTTTCCCTGCAAAATAGGCATGTCTTTCCCTTTTTGGATTTTAGTGGGAAAACAAATCCTCCCAAAAGCCCCAAAAGTTTCCAAGGTTATTCACCTTTTGCGGGTGGGTGTAGGTGGGGTTCGTCACACACGTCACTTCTGTCCCAGCCACCACTTGGGATGCGAAGCCAAAATCTGCCGCGGCCTTTGGACCTCGACCGCCCAGCTCCACCAGCCATTGGACCTCTCCAATCGCACATCTGAACGCGGAGGATGTCTCGGGCGACAAGCCAAGCACCCAGGCCCACTGATGTTGAGTTCAGCGCTTGGATTTTGGGAGGGTGCGCTGGATCGAAAATGAGTGAGTGTAGGCTGAAAATGCTTTGGCAGGTCATGTTCCGGCTCCCTGTCCAAGAGCCATGTACACTCACAAATTGCAGGTGTATGTACATAGTACTCCTGGAGGTCATCTATCTTTATGTGTATATATATATATACATTTACACGCCATGCTCTCCCAAAACAAGACCTATATTATATATGTGTGTGTGCGTTGATAAGTACCGTATCTAATATAATATACCTATGAGGCCTGGCCTCTCATTTGTGAGCAGGGTGCCCTAGACCGACCGAACCACACCGCCTGCTCTTCGGCTCTTGCGGAGCGCTCGGAGCGCTGCAGGCTCTGCTCTTTCACGAACTTGGTGAGCTTATCCATAGCGCCGTTCGAGGGGCCGCGGACGGGCGCGGACGGGTCTCGCGCGCCCGCACGATGCTAGCAGCTGCGAGAGGGTTTTAGGGTTTGAGAGCTTCACAGAATTATCCAGTGCCATCCCCTCAGCCAGGGAGCCTCTCCGGTCACAAAATTCCGCTTCGGCCAGTTCTCGGACAAAAGCAATCAGGATAGTTTTGCAATCCCTCATTGTGATGCAGCGGCCAGATTTACCCTTTCAAGGGGAGGCATTGACGGACAAAGGAGCGTGCTGCAAAACCATGAACAAGTCCGCTGTGAAACCAACATGAATCCCATGAGCTGTCATCTTAAAGTATATTCAGAGCGGGACAACTGCCAGAATCCAGAACACAAAGATTCCCTACAGGTCGGAGACCTCATTGTACCGGAGTGCGTTATTTTAAAAAAGACAGAGTACTCAATGAGGCTTTCAGGATCAGGTTTGACTGGGTCTTTGGACTGTGGACCTGTTGGGATCGTTGACAGTTGTTCGAAATTGTTGCGGATTTGATCCTTCTCTCTCTCTCTCTCTCTCTGTGTTGAAGCCTGTCATCTTAGGCGCCTTCGCAACTGCCGTCTTGTCATGCCAAAGGTCACAGGGCCTGCCGGGCGGTCACAGGGCCTACCTTGTGTCTCGAGTGTCTCGAGTGTCTCCTTTTTACATGTGTCTCGGTGGTTTTTATCGTGATGAGTGATGATTGATAAGGTTCTGCAGTTGTACATGCTACCCATGAGCACACTCATGTTGAGTCACCCATTAGCCCATCGTCAGACAAAAGAAGTCAACCTTCCGCATGGGTGATCCCTTTTCGTGAGAAGGAACTTGTCATGCCAGGCGGGCTGCTTACTTGGTAACCCTTTCATGATCCATCAAGTGAACACTTGTGCTGACCGCACCAAGTGACATGCATGTTTTGCCCATGTTGCGTGCATGACATGGCACATCCCTCTACCATCTCTAGTGGTTTGTCAGCCTTCGTTTAATGCTGTCCAGCTGTGAGCAACTCTGAAGCCTCTTCGCTAAACTCAGTATATTAGATCTCAACATCTCCCCAATCAATCACCATGAGGGCACACCATGAAAGAGAGTTCAACTCAGTAAACGCATCCATGCAACATACCCCTCGATTCAATTGCGACATGCTGGAACCGAGCACATTTTTCGGCAGTGTGAAACGCAACGCCCACATCTTTTGGGAAGTGAAGCGGGAAAGAAACCAATTCCCACCCAAAAAATAAAGGATGTTAAAGGATATCCTCTGACAGATGTAGGGGCCCATTTCTCAGTCCAGCAAAAAATGGATTTCAGACCGTGGGGCCCTATATAGGTCTAAGGTCTGATGTGGAACCGGTTGAAAAATTGTGTGGTTTCATGGTCGGGTTCATCTTGCACCGGCTGTGCATTTAGAAAGGAAGTCTACCAAGTGCAGAAGCACCTGCATTAGGCTGAGCACAAATCGAGAAGTCGATCCACATGCGGCCTTTTTGGAACACATGTTTCCCCACTCACCTGCTTCCACTTCTTGACGCACCGGAAGGGTTTTCCGGCTGACCTAAAACCTAAACCATGTGGATCCTTTCTCATGGAACACATGGGAACCTCCGCAGATCGAAAAACGTGTGGAGCCATGCAGGGCCTGGCCACTTTCATGGTTTCTTCTGCCTCCTGCAAGGCCGCAAAGCGGGCCGAACGATCGGTTGAGGGTCTCATCCCTGTGGTGGAAGTCATCTACCGACGGCTTTCGCTGCTACCCCTACAGGTGGGAAACCTTTGGACACCAGAAACAGAGGCAACTTAGCATAGAATCATGATTGATGCCAACAAGGCCCGACAAATCGGGCCTTTTTGAAAGGAACCGTTGTTCTCCCAGAAGGTCTTGCCATGGAAAGGTGTTTGGGGAATCTTGGTCAGGTTTCCGGCGCCGAAGTCCGGTGCACCGCTCACCGCTGGGCCCGCGAGGTCCCAGCTAAACCTGTGGATCGACTGGTCCGAGGCTGCCAAGGTCGGCCTTTTTGCCCCCTGAGCGAAATCCAGCCATGAGGGCGAGTCTTTACATAAAAGTTGCGGACGTGTATTCTGTACACGCCGCGTAGGGTTCGCCTTCCCAACCGGGCAAAGCAAGTCGGAGAACGACCAATTTTGCAGGACGCTTCACACTAACCTTTTTGAAGGGCTGCAACCCGCTCTTGTGCCGGACAGGGAAGCACCCAAAGGACACTGGAAGGATCCAGAATTGAAATGCCACTCACAAACACGTTTCAAGAATTGATTGACAACAGTTCTGGGGTCACTTTGGCTTAACACAAGTGCCCCTTTCCAGAAATGTTTGCTGCGTGCATTCTGGTCGGAAAAATCTCAAAGCCCTGAGAAAGCAAAGCGGCCGCGTCTTTCATCGCAAAAAGGGCATGGCCCAGGTGGCCATCTTAGGTGCACACACTTCAGAAACGGGGTAGATTTGATCCAAGATGCGAAGCGTTGGGAACCGAGTAATTCAAAAGACTGAAAGGTTCAAAGCGCTGGAGATTTCACTGGTCTATTTCAGAAGGGATCGCGTGGATCGGCTTGGCTCCTTAGCGGTCTCATCGTCACCAGGTCAGCAGCAGGTCATCAGCGCTTCCTGCAGTGCGACCACGCTTGTCCAACAGAGCGTTCTCGGCTATGACGTAGGGGGACTTGGCGTCAATCGCTTGCTTCACCTGCAACTTGGCGACCCCCTTGCAGGCAGAACCTGGCGAAAGAGCTCCGCGCAGAAGCACCGCAACCTATGATCAAGACTCAAATCTTCGGCGCAAATGTACGGACCTGAACTTCATGATCAGCTTCCTGACCGCCGGGTCCTTGACCAGAACTCCTGACCAACTGGCCAAACGGCCCCAACCGCTCAGCCATGAGGCTGGCGCTAGCGAAAGCTGATGGAACTATTGAATCTGCTGTCTCACCTTGAAGCTTGGCAGGTCCGTCTGCACACTGCAGGCACGAAAACAAAACCGCGACCGGCCAAGATGGCAATGAACACGTCCGTAAGCTGCTTGTCCAAGACGCCGACTGCAAGGCGGCCTCAAATCAAACAAATAGGAACCTCAAATCAAACCGTGTCCAGCTTCTGACCCATGAGCTCATTGCTTGCTAGAGAGGAGATGCTGTTGGTTGACTTGTTGGTTGTTAAAAGAATGTTTGTACCCAACGGGGCCAATGGTGTCCTGATCAAAGTCAGCATGTCCAAACTCAAACGGCCGAACGCGTGAACACTTTCCATTTGGGGTTTCAACCACAGAGTGCTACAACATTACTTCTGACATGTGGTGTCCATGGGGTTGGTGTGCACGGGGGTGTTGCTGCTGAAGTCACTGCTGCCCTCAGAAATTTACGTGAAGTAGGTGACGTAGACGGGTTCAGGGGCGTCCTTGGATTTTGTCCCATGACGCACGACGGCCAACACCATTTTGGCAGGAGCGTTTCAGACGGTGATGGCTTCAAACCTTTGTCAAAATTCGGACCTTGTTGGTCTGAGCTCTGAGGGCATTCGGGATCATCATTCCATCGTCCAGCGGCGCAATGCAACTTGGCCTTGCATTGCGCCAAGCTCTTGCTCCTACCAAATTTGCGGACTAGCGTCGGGCCTTGCAAGCGACGGGCTAGCCTGGTCATGAAGTGTTCGATATTCTCGCCGGACTTGGCATCTTCATCTGGCTTTTGAGTGAGCTTGTCAGCTTGTTCAGCACTGAGACTGCCACCTTCATCAGGGCCAGCTTATTCTGCTTCCAGCTCGCCACCCCCGTCCTCTGGAGTCATTTGCGGCCTTGGTGATGCTGCAACTGAAAGGGGTCTGGTGCTTTGACCTTTCCTTTGCCCTTGACTTCAGGTCGATTTTGAGGACGGCCGAACTCGTCCACATACTGGTGCTTCAGGAAGACGCCCTTGACCGCTGCAAGGTCTCGACCTGTGAGTGAGAGGTCGCAGTGCTGCAGCTCCTCTCCCGCTTTGCCCCGCAAGGAAACGAACAGGGTCACGGCGATCTCATTCGGACAGAGGTATAGGATTCCATTGCCCTCGTTGGTCTCGAGCGGCTCGGAAAGAGTCCAGCGCCCATCAGCCTTTGAGCCCATCGCCGAAAAGGCTCCGCGCGACCAACTCACAGAAGTGCTTGCTGTGCGCACGCTGGGTCAAACAAATCTAAAAGCCCTGAGAAAGCAAAGCGGCCGCGTCTTTCATCGCAGAAAGGGCATGGCTCAGGTGGCCATCTTAGGTGCACACAGTTCAGAAACGGGGCGGATTTGATCCAAGATGAATGCAAAGCGTTGGGAACCAAGTGACGCAAAGAACTGAAAAGGTTCAAAACAGTGGAAGTTTTGCACTGAGTAAACTTGTTGGAATGGTCTCTGCGGTATGAAGTTTTGCAAGTGACTCGGAGCTAACCTGCGCAGTGGAGCCACCCGGTTCTTCTGTGGCTTTCCACCACTGTCCATGAGTACTTGGTCCATGGTTCAGTTGATGGCCCCACATTTCGGTGTGCCCACAGCATCAGCTGATTCCTGGCTGCTGCAGGATGTAGGAAGTGCACACACTTGTTGTAAGAAGGTTTTGCTCCCCGATCGGGTTCCATGGAAGCTGTGCAAAACTCGGGAGGCGCGGCCATGCTTCAGGCGTTGCCGCGTCCCCGAGGATTCGGCACCGAGAGCGATGTCCTTGACGCCTGGTGTCAGAGCGGGTAGGGAAAATCTCCGTGCCGTTTCCTTCCAAATGAATCCGAATGATAAGGTTTGCCCATGGAACACAAGGTCACCTCAGTAATCTGAGAAAACCCTACCGCTACCCCTACCGTGCAGTCAAGGTGCTCTGAGAAAAAAAGTTCTTGGCTGTTTACAGTCAAAGCCATCTTCAAAAAGTCATACCAACGTTCAACGAGCAGAACGGAGCTGCGCTGGTCCCGCGAATGGGAGCTCCGCTCGAGCTGGCTTGCAACCGAGGCAAAACGCGAATTGCATGCCACTTCGAACCAGGCGCGCTGCATCAAACGGCTGCCAACTCCAAATAATTGAAACTACATCCAAGAACACTCAACAAAATACGAAGCCCTCGTCTGACTTGGGGCGCTGGTAGGGCTGAGCACACTTCCAGCCAATTCTGACACTGGTTCGCAGGCATCAGCTGATACTACATATTAGGATTTGGATATTAGTTTTTGCCGTACCGGTACCGGAAGGCTGCACAAAGCGAGCATGGAGCGGGACATCAAAACGCATTGCTTCTTCCTTCTACCTGAAAAGACATGCTCCGTGGGGCGCTTGCCACTGGCCCCTGGCACGAAATCGGCGATGTGAAACAAGTCTTGTTGTGCACTTGCCAACATGGCTCTAACACCAAACGCGAGCACTGCGCGGCAGTGCAGCAAGAGAGCACATCGGACACACACACACACACAGATCCACTACCCCACAATGACGTTCGACGCGGCACTGTGTTGCTAGAAGGAACTGTGCTCAAGCCAGCCACACGCAAGCCGTCGGTAAGAACTAAAGAACCTATTGTGAACAGTCGCGAAAACGACCCAGGTACATATACATCACGATTTGAACGCATTGGCTGCAGTTTTCGTGCATCCGACTTGTGCGCAGGAGCACCGCAGAGAGTTGCACCATGTTGCACCAGCACCAGACGGACTTGTGTTTCACTACAGGTTAAACCTCATGCACAATCTCCGCAAAGGATGAACTTCAAAACTGCAAGCAAGTAGACGCATCACATCTAATGATCTACTACAAGTGCCATGTATGCCAAGTGTGAGCCTGCAAGCGTCGCATGCAAGTGCAAGAAAGAGGTGCAAGCGAGGCCGCAGCCAGGCATGACATGCCAGCAGGGAGCACTGCAATGCAACTGCAATGTGAGTGTTGTCCATGCAATGCCGCGTGTGGCTATGACATGCGCAGCCATACACCAAGTCTTTCGTACACTTGGTGACCGATCCCACAAGTAGGTTGCTATTATTGGTGGCCAAGCGCCGGCACGACGTCTCCCTATGGGGTTGACTCAGCAGTCTACATTTAAGCGCTGTCTCATCCTCCACTCCATGCTCACGGGCGCTCCCGGCTCCCTCAGTCGGGGGTGTGCTGGTTGCCCTCAGTCCGGGTCACACGCGTCACCTCACCAGGTTCTAAAACACCCTCTTGTCCGGCGGATGGGAAGTAGCCCTGCAGGATCACACGAGCCTTGGCGGGAGGACAGAAGGAGACCGAACCGAAGCTTCACGATGCTCCACGAGAAGCTTCGTGTGGGCACGGTGCGGACATGGTGGCCTACCATCCGGAGGGTGAGCAAAAAAAGGGGTCATTCATCTGATGGTTTTTGCCTTTCCGTCAACTCCCGATGTGAAAAGAGCGGTGGAGACACGAGTTCGTCCCTCGATCGACTCTGCACAAGAATCTGCTGCGCCAAAGCGGCATAATCATGTTTACGTGCTTCTCTCTGCAAGGCATCGTGCAGCGTCTCCTCCGATTCCTCCTCAAAGCACCGCTCGATTCCTCGGGACGTCTGCCGGCAGGTCCAACTGCTTGCGCAGCAAGAGAGTTTGCATAGGTGGGCGTGCCAAAACAGAGGCGAACGCGCTCAACAGATGATGTCACGCGAACCAACTCGCCTAGTCCCTCGCTGGGACGAGCCCGACCCGTGCGGTCTCGACCCCCCGTGCGTCGCCTCCGAAGTCACACGGAGCAGCTCGAGCTTCCTGCAGGTTGACCAGGCCAGGTGTGGACTCGATGCCCACAGCCGTGCCGTTTTAGGGCCGCAGAAACAGGAACATTGGAAACAAACCAGGGCTGCCAAATCCCATGAGATGATATGGATATGCAGACGACCTTCGCAGCTAGAACAGAACTGTTGCCCCTCCATGAACACCAACAGTGCAAATCAGGAGGAAGAACATCTTTCTACAGTAAACCGTCTTCCACCAGTTGAATTCTGACTGGCACCCCCCAAGAAGAATCTCCTCTCCCACTCAGGCCCAGCGGCGCTCTTTGATCTTGTCCCGAGTTAGCTTTCGTGGACGATGTTGTCCCGAGACACTCGAGCTGGGATGTGGGAGGTGGCAATAGATGCAAGCATCTCCTTTGGAGCAGCCACGGCCAGAGTTAAAGTAGACACATGGATCACCTCAGCGGAGGTGGGCGCGTGACGTGTGTCCGTGTGGCGTGTTCACCACACCCACATGCGTTCCGGTCCCCGTGCTCTTCTGCACCGGCACATGCAAAGCCGCTGATGCTGGCTGTTACAGTCAGTGACAAGCATGGCATGACTGGGTGTGACAGCAGTTAAGCAACACCGGGGCCCAAAAAGGAGTCCCTGCATGACATTGCCCCGCCAGGCTGACGGACTTGAGGGTGGGAGAATGAGTCCAACTCAGCGGGCCAAAGGAGAAGGCACCTCCCTACTGACCCTGGATGAGTACAAGGTGATGTCATCCCCGACGTGGCGTTTTTTGGTGTTCTTTAGTTAAAATACATGACTTTCATAAGTTTAGACGAAAATATCTATATTGTATTCATTTACAGATTCATAATTTGAACACTAATTATAGTTTTTGTATTATCAAAAATGATGTTCATAACCAGAAGTGACCCACATTTCAAGGCATTGGCAACAAAAAGAATAATTACCAGGGTAGAAGGCTACAATGAGCTAAGGGCACTATGTCACTCACTCAATGCCATAGGCATGAGCATTGAGATGTTCAAGCCTGACTCCAGACTCCATTTGGACCCATTGACAGCAGAGGAGAGCAGGCATCAGCAGGGTACACACTTTGAGGTCACAAACACATTGAAGGGAACCACAACTGCACAGTTACCACCAGGATTTGACATCACACAGCAGCCCATTTTGGTCTCAGTGTCAGACCAAGGTGGCATAAACAGGGTTTTCCTTGGTTATGTGCAATACAAAGTTGGAATCATGATAGTTGTATTGTATGATTTCCAACATAGGCTTTGGAATGACATCAAGGCTGCAATGAAAATGGCAAAGGTGTTCAAATCTTTCCTGTCCTACAGCCTCCTATGGAATGTGAACTATGGCCCAAAGGGGCCAAAGCTTTCTTTCAGAAGAAGCAGGCTGCTGCTCAAGAGCTTCTTATGAGTCCAACAGTGCCACCAGAATTCATGACACTTCTTCCATACATTGCACATGAACTTGGGCAAGATGAGCCACAAACATTGGATGGCATTGTCAAGCTTTTCAGGAGGATCAAGGAAATGAAAAGTCTACAGGTTCTAGGGCCATATGTGAAGCTCATGCGTTGGTTCAGCTGGTGGGGGAGCTATGAATTCTATGAAGGATAGAATTGGCTGTCCAAGTTTGTAATGAACTCCGCAGGTACTGCTGCCACTTCCACTTCCACTGATGATATTCAGCTACCACCAAACCTTTCACCCCAAGCAGAGCTGAAACAATTGAAAACCAAGGGGCTGCAAACAGCTTCATGTCCCAGCATGTCAGGTCATGAATGGAATTTCAGGAGTTTGTCATGGGGATGGCTTCTGGTGATTGGCAGGTCCAGTTGCAAGACCTAGCTGTCCATGGTTTCTTTGATGCCCCCACCATGAAAAAGCTTTATGGTGGCACTGAAGTGGGCACTGCAAAGAACTTGGCAATCCACCATGCACTGCTGATCAAACTCTTGAATATGAGAGCAATCTCTTTGACAGGCACCTTTTTGAGGCCACCAATGGGATATGCATGCCTTTGCAGTGAGGACAAAGTTGGCACAACAAGCAGGCAGATGCAAGCAGAATGGGAAACTATTTTGGAAGCAGAAAGAGTGATGACCAATGGCATGGAGGTAAGGCCCATAGAGCTTTGCTATTTTGCTAGGACATCTGAGCTAGACATCCAGCAACACAAACAAGGCACTAACAGAGTAGCTGCAACACTGGCAAAGACAGCTTGCCAACATCCTGGCAACACTGTGATCATACAAAACTCTCACCAAAAGGATAAGACATGATGAGAAAGGCACGCCACAACCAGACTAGCAGGACACACAAGTACCACAGAGTCTTGACCTCAAATGTCTTGTCTTGTGTGGAATCTAGACGTTAGCAACAGTGAGAAAGCCCAGTCTTCAGCTGACAAATCCAAAGCGCAGAAAGTTGTTGCCTTCACACACCCAAACAACCACACCATGAGCAAGGAGTTCCAGAACCTCATGCAGTTCAAAACCAGGTCTTCCACTTTCACCCTGCCCAGGACCTCCCATGAGAGCATCTTCAATGAAGTTGCATCCTTGCAGTTTCTGCAGGAAGGGCAGCATGATGTGAGGAAGGAGGGGTTTGAGGTTGCAACTTTGGATTGTTTGGTGGGCAAACCTGGGGACACTCTGGCTTGCAGAAGCTTGGGAAGGGTGATGATGGTGGTGGCAGTAGGTTCATACAGCTTCCTGGGTTGGGAGATGCAGGTGGTTGGTGAGGCTGCAGGACCTTTGACCTTTCAAGCATGCAAGGAAGCAAGTGCAGTACAGTGACATTGCATGACAGATCTAGATGACTACCTGGCCATTCCTACAAAACCTGTGCTTTCCAACACCTTGCAATACCAACAAGCAGGGGAACCCATGACTCTTCCAATGCAAAAGGTTTGTTCTCTCTCCAATAACGTAAAAAGACTACTTTATCAATTGGCTTCAGATACTACTTCTCTCCATGACTCTTCCAATGCAAAAGCTCACTTGAGAGAGGAGGGGGTGAACGAAAGGTAGCAGGCAATCACAAGCAACCCTGGTAAAAGTCCATGACGGCGTGGACCGGCGCAGGGGGGATTTGATCCAGGGGGGGGCCCCCCGACGAACAGAATCAACTCTTACAGGACCAAATTCAATGCACAATCCCAACTCCTGATTGTAATACATTTTTGCTAAAGCAAGGAGAACTCAGGTAGCTCAAGCTACCTTTGACTTGGCTCGGCAATCATATAAAATCTCTCCGCCTCTCTCTCTCTCGGTCTCTCTCTCTCTCTCTATCTCTTTCTCTCTTATATCAATCTGGCATCGGGGGGGCGACAAAAAAAAAACAACAATTGGTTGTCGAAATTGGAGACCACCAATTTTGTTTTTACGACACTTGGTGTAAAGGACTCACTCCCATGTCTAAGACATGACACGCACAAATAGAGAAGTTACATCTGACGGCAGGCCGCTTTAGTGACCAAAGGAGTTTCCGCATGGTAGCGGAGCCGGTGATAGCAATTGCATAGCTCTTGCTTGAGGCTCCTGACCCGACCCAGCGGCGCGCCTTTCCGCAATTGCGGCAATCGGTGCGAGTGGCTTTGTGAAGGCCAAGTTCCTTGGTGGCTACATCCTGGCACCCGAGAAGATCCTTGTGGAGGAAGATGGCAGGGTCTGGTGGAGATCCACTTGACGGGTCGCCAGTGGGATCCCCGACAGGGGTGCAGTTCGATGGCCAGGAGCTTGCTATGAGGATGGTGCAAGCTGCAGAGCAGGCTAGTGTGGCAGCCCGCTTGGCTGCAGAAGCGATCAACAAGTCCAGTGGAGATGATCGCGCCTGGTTTCGAGTTTTGCCCGAGCCCAGTAGCTACGAGCCCAAATCTCGTGAGGATGAGCTCTCCCTCTGGAGGGACTTCAGTTGGGGGCTAGAGCAGTATCTTGCTTCCTGGATGCAGGATTTGTGGAGGACATCAAGGAGATCAGAGAGCATCCAGATCGCCCCATCGACCCATCCATCCAGACCGACGACGAAAGGCAAAGAGGGTCTTTCATGTATGCCTTGCTCGCCTCACTGGTTCGCCACCGCCCACTCTCCCTCATCAAGCAGGTCAAGGAGGCCAACGGCATGGAAGCATATCGAATGCTGGTGCAATCACTTGAACCCGCCAGCAAGAACCGGTCGTTGGGACTCCTAACCATGATTTTGGAATGGGGCCAATTTGATATGAAGAAAGGTGGCATTCTGACCCAGTTGCTTCGCCTTGAAGAGGCCTTCATTGAGTACGAACGTACAGGAAGCAAGCTGGAGGACAGCCTGAAGTTTGCCATCCTGATGAAATGTGTTAGTGGCCAGCTCAAGATGTGGTTACGGCTTCATGTAGCGGAAAGCCAGGACTACACCCGACTTCGAGAGGCGATCATCCAGTATGACAACGCTACATTGAAGTGGAGCTCAACGATGATGCTTGGCCAAGACACAGGCGGGCCTGCTCCAATGGAGATTGATCGAATTGGTCAAAAGGGGGAGAAGGGCAAGGGCAAGTTCAAAGGAAAGACACCCAGAACACCAAGGGCAAGGGCAAAGGAGATGCCAAGAATTCGAAGGGTAAAGGAAAGGGTCAACAGAAGGGCTCAGATTATGGTCAAGGAAAAGGTCAGCAGAAGAGCAGTGGTAAGGGTGACGGGTAGAAGGGTCAGAAAGGAAAGAATGATGGTGGCCCCGTGAAGACGTGCTACATCTGTGGCAAGCCCGGACACTTAGCTCGAGATTGCTGGCGAGTACGACAAGTGGCAAATGGTTCACCGCAGCAGTAGGTACAAAGCCAAGGAGATGCTTCCTCGACGTGGACATCTACCAGTGGGAGCCAGGCCACAACGGCCAAGACAGCCACAGTGAAGAGGATTGTTGAGCTGAGCCCAGTTTCACAGGAATTTGAGCAGCCCTTGATCTTTGACTTGAGGCCGAGGGTAGGTGACGAAAGCTAGCAGGGGTGCATCCGGACTGGTGGGACATCAAGCGGAGTGAGGCAAATGCTCATGAGGTAAAACGTTGTGAACATGTAAGACACACAAACAGCAATGACACAGCCAACCTTAGAATTGAAGTCCCCGATAATTAAGGAAGCGTGGCTGGACTTTGCCGCACTGTTCGATGCATCCGATGTGTTCACGAACCTGTGAGCTTGTTGAATCTGTTGCGCCGTATCCCAAAACCTCCACGGAGGAGTTGAACCAGTGTGGATGCCATAAGAGGTGCCCAAGAGTGTCCCAGAGGCAAAACAAAGCTGCTTGCATGATTTGTTTGGTTTCTTCTATCGATGTCGATGTCATGAACATGTGAGCTTGTTGAATCTGTTGCACCGTATCCCGGAGGAGTTAAGCCAAAGTGGATGCCATAAGAGATGCCCGAGAGGTGTCCCAGAGGCGTCCGAGGGGG